TTATCGTGATTAATCGCATGATTTTCTGATTTTCACAAAATTCAATAATTAATTCAAATGTAGTGTATTGTGCACTTTTTTCATTTAAAAGTACTGCTATAGGAACAAAAGTGCAATAACATTTGGTTCGCAAACACTTTAAACAAATAAGGTGCTTTTTTACAGCAGTACTCCTTTTACATAGCAGTTAAAATATTTCTTATAAATCTCAGCTTATAACATTAATGTAATCAAATTAAATATAAAGCCAAAGCTATTTGCCACTGCCAGGGCATTAATGTTTTTATAGAAAATATTTTATAGTTTGTTATAGAAAAACAAGTTATGCTCAGAGTCCAGAACCTCGATCATAACATTATAACAGGCACTTTCCGAGTAGAGACCTGCACGATCGCGGGACCCAACGCAGCAGAGTGCGGCGCGTGACAACACCCGATGGACGGGTAGAGACTCGTGTGTGCGGGATGTGGGAGAATAAGGGTGTATCACATAGGCAATCTTAACCGTGCTCGAGTGCGTCTGACCCCCAAAGCCCGGTTCGTTTGACTAGTGTGATCGTTCCGTGCCGCGGTTCGTTTAGCCGTCCCTGGCTCGGTTGGAAGAGGTGGGCCAGAGCGCGGTTCATTTGGGCTCGGGCGCGGTACGCGTGTAGTGTCGGAGCGCGGAACTTCTTATATGTGCAGCACGATTGCGTGAATATTTCTGAGCGGCAAAAGTGATAGATCTGTAAAGCAATATATTGTGAGAGGGCCGTGTGTTAGCGCATCCCAAACGACTCAAAATAATAAACCACAAAGTTAACAAAGCGATGCACTCCACTGTGCTGAGCGAGAGGGCTTCTCTGCTGCCTTCACGTGCTATCGGAAACTTCCTATTTCCCACATAATGTGGGAGAATAAGGGTGTATCACATAGGCAATCTTAACCGTGCTCGAGTGCGTCTGACCCCCAAAGCCCGGTTCGTTTGACTAGTGTGATCGTTCCGTGCCGCGGTTTGTTTAGCCGTCCCTGGCTCGGTTGGAAGAGGTGGGCCAGAGCGCGGTTCAGTTGGGCTCGGGCGCGGTACGCGTGTAGTGTCGGAGCGTGGAACTTCTTATATGTGCAGCACGATTGCGTGAATATTTCTGAGCGGCAAAAGTGATAGATCTGTAAAGCAATATATTGTGAGAGGGCCGTGTGTTAGCGCATCCCAAACGACTCAAAATAATAAACCACAAAGTTAACAAAGCGATGCACTCCACTGTGCTGAGCGAGAGGGCTTCTCTGCTGCCTTCACGTGCTATCGGAAACTTCCTATTTCCCACATATGAAGTTGTGAGCGCTTCATGTGAGTGCTGCGCTGCTTGCACACTTGGCTCTCCTCAAATGTTCTCATTGGTATCTTGAGATGCGTGATGACACTCATCCCAAGCCAGTACTGATTAACATCCCACCCCTCCTGTGACCCATGGTTTGTCTGTATGTGTATTCAGAGCCAGTGAGCAACGGACTTTCATAATAATAAAAAACTGCGTTAACGCGACAATAACGCATTAACTTGCCAAGCCCTAATATATTCATATGCACATAACAGCACTGTGATTTACTTGAATGCTGTACTAATAAATACATTATAATTCTGGACCTACAAAATCAAACAAAATCAAATTTTGCCTTGTATTTGCCAGGGAGACTCCAGCCATGTGCTGTGACCCTGCCATCCTCCTTCTGAACATGGGCTTTCACATGCTGGTATTGAGCGCGCTTCTGCTCCCGGCGGGACAGAGAACCACTCGAGTCCACCCTGATGGAAGAAATCCAGAAAAAGTGAAGAGGGGATTAAAGCATGATGAATTGTCATGTTTGTTAACAGTTTGGTGTGCTGTGTGACGCCAGACAAGAATATCTTCATATTCTAGATTTACATGGCTCTCAACAGGTGGGTCCTGACACCAAAATATGTGAAAAAACAATGCTAAATGCATATCATAAAATGCAGATAATCATATAATACTTGATTCAAATATATGCATTTCATGTTAATATTAATCAGTTTCAGAGTTTGATTTTAAAGACATTTTGGTTTGACTATAGTTTTGTTGCTGTATTTGTTTGCCTCTTAATGCACATATAAAAAAAAATTGCATCCTGAATTTTATTTTACTCAAAAACTTGAAAATATGTTTGACGGTTAAATAGAAGAGTTACTCTTCTTTGAGGAAGTCGAACGCTTTGGACTTTTCTCTTGGGAACTGGGAGAAGGTGTTGCTCTTTTTCATGATGCTGGGTGGGTTGTACTTGACGTTGGAGGGTAAACCTCTCGCTGTGTTGCTGGACATTGAGGAACTAGAGGAACTGAACAGGCGACTGAAGCTGAAACAGGACATACAGAAAGACAGGTGTGAAGAGGCCAAGCTCACATTTGTGATCTGTGTGACTAAAATTTGAGATAAGGGTCTTACAATTGCCTGATGCTTGACCTCTTCTTCTCTGCAACTTCAGAGTTTTCCCGTGAAGCTCTGTGGAAAAACAAGACACATCACTTGTAGGAGAGCCGTGAGCTAGATGTCTGCGCGGGACTGTTTAGTCCCGCTCCCGCAAGGTTCTATTCCGCACCCACCCACTCCCGCTATATATTCACTCTTTGTTCGCCCGCTGTCCGCTTAGAATAATTTTCTTCCCGACCATTCCCGCTAAATTTAGATATCGTTTCCAGAATCCCGTCCGGATATGTCTGAGATTCATCGCGTAATTGTTTGGTGATCCGATTCTCCGACCGCTCGCTCCACTTTCATCGTGGATATAAGCCGTGAAAATAACAGGAAATCAATAAGAAGATGCCGATCACAGAAACTAATAGCAGAGTTAGGTAAGAATCTAGTCGTATTGCAGTTTTCTCGATTGTTAATATAACTGATTTTAGTTGGCACTTTTTTCCCAAACCATTAATTCAGTTTTCAAAACAAAGACACATTTCTCAAAACATTTAACAATGAGTAAGTTAAACATTATAGCAAAACTGATGACACATCAATCAGAATCTCTGCATGCTAACAATGGAGAGAGGAGAGAGCTGAGCCAATCATCTACAGGGGTTTTATACTTACACATACAGTATAATTACAGTTCAGTACCAGTACATTAGATAATGGAAATTTCACTATTCTATATTGTAGCGTCTGCGTAGAATCATGCATGATATTTGGGGTTTTATGGCTTAAGAGACCCTTTTAGCCTTTTGACATTTGCATATAAATTACAGTTCTGGTCAGAGACTTTACGTTTGTATGGGGGTCTAAATTGCCAAATGGTTCCTCGCAATCAAGGAGATTCTAACCAGTCCCCCCCACTATCATCTCCCCCATCTGACTTCAAACACTGTCCAAAGAGCTGTTGATCCGATTCTCCGACCGCTCGCTCCACTTTCATCGTGGATATAAGCCGTGAAAATAACAGGAAATCAATAAGAAGATGCCGATCACAGAAACTAATAGCAGAGTTAGGTAAGAATCTAGTCGTATTGCAGTTTTCTCGATTGTTAATATAACTGATTTTAGTTGGCACTTTTTTCCCAAACCATTAATTCAGTTTTCAAAACAAAGACACATTTCTCAAAACATTTAACAATGAGTAAGTTAAACATTATAGCAAAACTGATGACACATCAATCAGAATCTCTGCATGCTAACAATGGAGAGAGGAGAGAGCTGAGCCAATCATCTACAGGGGTTTTATACTTACACATACAGTATAATTACAGTTCAGTACCAGTACATTAGATAATGGAAATTTCACTATTCTATATTGTAGCGTCTGCGTAGAATCATGCATGATATTTGGGGTTTTATGGCTTAAGAGACCCTTTTAGCCTTTTGACATTTGCATATAAATTACAGTTCTGGTCAGAGACTTTACGTTTGTATGGGGGTCTAAATTGCCAAATGGTTCCTCGCAATCAAGGAGATTCTAACCAGTCCCCCCCACTATCATCTCCCCCATCTGACTTCAAACACTGTCCAAAGAGCTGTAAATGACCCCGATGGGCCTGGCTGACCAAGCAAACTAACACACACACACACACACACACACACACACACACGTAAAGACCGTTACTCTATTATACTCTACAAATATATATGGTATATTGCATGTGTTGTTTGTACGTTTCCCTATTATATTAGCTGAGTTACCACTCCTTATTTGTATTAGTTAAAGCCCTAAACACTGATATTCAGGTGTATGTATGTATCTTTGGTTTAATCTATTCTAAATGTTTGTTTCTTGGTATCAATATTATCTGCTTTTTATTCCTCAAACAATGATGTACAGTATGTGATTGTGAAACGTATCACATAATTTTTTAGTGAATTGTTGGCCTTCTGAAAAGTATGTTCATTATGTTCAGTAT